ATTGTAAACAGACTAAAGACATTCATATGAACTTTTTGTAAAAAAATGGGAGTATTGATGAAATTTTAAGGAAAATAAGCTGCATTTACCTGATCTAATGATATGGTCCGCCATCTTGGATTTTGGCCAATGACGTCATTAAATTATCATAAATTATGCATTTGTTATGATAAAATTTACATATAATTATATGTGATGTTATTAATGTTAGAAACAATGTGTAACTTGACATAAAACCCATAAAATTCTGTTGTTTAAATGGAAATAATTAAATTTGGCAAAAAATGCCTGTCAGAAACCCGTTGCCATGGCAACAAGAAAAATCATAATCTTATTCCACTGATACAGATTTGTTGCCAACAATATTTTAGGAAAAGTCACCAAATTTGGCGGTTCTAGCTTTAGCCGTTTAGACGCTAGGTGACATCAAAGTTGCCGCGGGCACTTTAAGCCCCCCCCCCGTCTAGATAGGGTTAAACAATTTTTCTTTGTTCGATTTATCACACTTCACAGAGAATTGTCGCCAATGGCTACTTCTTTTTGTTGCAATATATAATATTTCACGGAGAATTGTCGCCTATGGCTTCTTGTTTATTTTTTTTTCCTTTTGGCCGATGCCTACGAGCAACTCATCGTCTGGAATCTTTCACAAGGGAAATAAAACCTGGACTTTTTACCAGATGCATGTGATCCTAGTTCCGCTGTATCTATTGCAATTATTCTCTTCTTTTGCGCAGGTATTATAAAGCTATTCTGTGACAGCATCAGCGGCTACAACTCACCATGGCGTCGACACTATGTTCATTCAAGAAGATCGAGAACTTGGAATGGAGCATCATTGTGGACAGAAAACAAAATTTAAAATAATATAGAATAATAGCCCACGTACATCAATCACATCACATTAAAACAATGAATTATCTCATGTAACCTTAGTCTATTTATTTTACCGTTGAAGTACAACCGTGTTGTCTCCACCCTTCTCGATTTTCTGTTTCTTAATGTATCACTTAGTGTCCATTCAGCAAATCAATCACACGCATAACAGGAAATACTTCCTCAGTATCGAATATACCAACAAGTAGTTATACAATTTTGTGAGCTCTGGGTTTATAAGGTATACTTATGTTCACATGCATGTAATCATATTACATATACCGATATATTAGTTGAAAGGGAAAAAAATAAAATATCAAACTAGAATAAATTGCTCCTAGTTCCTTTAACTAAAAGAATGTACTATCGATAGAAAAAAATTGAACCATTAAGAGCAGTGATAGTAAAGACTGCTCTTGTTTGTGCAAAAAGGAACAATGGCCTTAACTTCTCGGTTCAAAAATAACATATGACGAAAGCACGTGTCCCAAAAACTCTAGTTTTATGTCACTTTTGTTAAAATAAACACCATTGTATCATACATCATTGGAAAGCTAACGTTCTCTACATTCTTGATACCAAGGGCGATAATAAAAAAAATACTTTTATTGAAATATATATATATA